TTACAAATAAAATATTAAATTTATTTGATAATTTATATTATAATTGTTTTAAGTAATCCAACTTCAAAAAATTACATTTTAACTCAATAAATAATACTTTTCTATATTAACTTTTAACTTAACTTTAGTTAATTTAATATTAACGTAACTTTTAACTAAGTTAGTTTTTTGTTTATGTTACTTTTAACGTAACTAAAATAACTTTATAAGCCATTAACTTTAATTTAATTTAGTTTAAAAATATATTACCCAACCCTGTATATAACACATAATATATATAAAATATAAACGATTATATATACAGGGTCTACCAAAAGTGTGGAAACCCCTAAATATCTCGGAAAATATACGTTTTACAGAAAAGTGTTTCCAACAAAAGTTGTAGGGTTTAAGAAGATCTATATACTGATTCTATCAGTTTGACCTTGGATGGCGTCGTCAAGGTCAGGTCAAGGTCACATTGACTTTTTTAAATGACACCCCCTACATTTGATTGCATATTCTTATAGCTTAATTCAAGAGCTTTCCAAAACACTATAATAATGTTCATTTTTATTAAGTACTTTGCGAGTTATGAGGGTTGAATGATAGAGTAGCGCCGGTATTAACATTATCCAAGGTGTACTACATGGAGGTTACTCGCTCGGATTTGCATCTGTTGTGTGTGTGATCCAGCTAACTAAGGCAAGATCGGTCGTGGATCCAGTCAGCAAAAGCAAAGACCCAACCAAATTACAATCGAGCATTTAAAGACCTGGAAAGCAATCGACATAGTAAACAGTAAATAAATTTGTGGATGCTCATTTATCATAATAATTGTTCGAAATGTGTGCGTGTGCGTGCGTGCGGTGCGTGTATACAGAGATCAGGTTAGGTTGCACCAAACGATTGCAAATGTGTTTCAATGTGTTAAAGTAAATGCTGAAAGTGGCTGCCATTTACTTCCTGACAATATGCTAATCTTTGGTAGAATGTAGAAATGACTTTACGATTCGTTTCAAAAGGTATCAAAGCCATTTCATCCCTTATTCGCTGTATCAATTCGTGAATGGTTTTAGGTTTTGTTCTGTAAACCTTACTCTTCAGATATCCCCATAGATAATAATCAAGAGGAGTTAGATCTGGTGACCGAGGTGGCCAATCCTCTCCTCCCTCATTTCCGTTCCTTCTTCCTATCCACCGTAGCGGAAAAGTCTCATTTAAAATACGACGTGGTCCTGCACCAAAATGAGCAGGAGCTCCATCATGCTGAAACCATATTTCTTGGAAATTATTTGGAAAAGTATTCTGTATGGCTGGAATTATTTGATCAACAAGTAATCTCTCATACCTTTGAGCGTTCAAATATTCTTCAAAAAAAAACGGCCCTATTAAATAGCCATCTATTATTCCGCACCATACATTTATTTTTTGTGGATGTTGTGTGTGAGTTTCCCGCACCCAATTCGGATTCTCATCTGACCAGAAACGAAAATTTTGATTATTAACTTCTCCCGTTAAGGTAAAAGTTGCCTCGTCTGTGAAAACAATTTGATAAGGGAAGATGGGCCGGACATCTATTAGTGCCATCATTCTTTCACAGAAATGTATACGACGCTCCTCATCTCCGTTTTGCAATTCTTGAACGTATTGCAATTTATATGGATGGAACTTGTTCTTCTTTAAAATTCTCCAAACCGACATGGGAGCAATATCGTGAGTTTGAGCGACTCTCTGAACACTAGAATTGGGATCTTCAATAAATGTCTGCAGAACATCAAGTTGTTTTTCTTCGTTGGTTGCAGACAATGGTCTTCCTGACTTAGAGCGATTTCTTACGCTACCAGTTTGTCTAAAACGTTCTATTGTTTTTAACACAGTGGACTTATTAATTCGACGGTTCGGATACGTGTCATTAAATAATCGAACGACATCAGAGAACGATCTTTCGTTATCACCCCATCCACGCATCATGAGGATAGTGATTCTTTCACGTTCCGACAAGTCGCCAGCCATTTTTAAAACGTTTAATTTTAATTAATCGTACGTTGTATTTGGACGATAACAATTAATTTCTGCTTGCTCAAAGCTGAAGTTAGAAGGTGCTTGTTCTTTGATAGCTTTATACATTCTTAGTTGAATTTTAAATGCGAGTTAGACTGCATGTAGTGCGTCACATAGCGGTAAATGAAGGAACTAACGAGACGTTTCATACACGTTTTATGGAGCAATTTTTTGGCAATTTGACTTCAGCGAAATATGAGGATATGTTGAGGAATCGATCTTGCCTTAGTTAGCTGGATCACACACACAACAGATGCAAATCCGAGCGAGTAACCTCCATGTAGTACACCTTGGATAATGTTAATACCGGCGCTACTCTATCATTCAACCCTCATAACTCGCAAAGTACTTAATAAAAATGAACATTATTATAGTGTTTTGGAAAGCTCTTGAATTAAGCTATAAGAATATGCAATCAAATGTAGGGGGTGTCATTTAAAAAAGTCAATGTGACCTTGACCTGACCTTGACGACGCCATCCAAGGTCAAACTGATAGAATCAGTATATAGATCTTCTTAAACCCTACAACTTTTGTTGGAAACACTTTTCTGTAAAACGTATATTTTCCGAGATATTTAGGGGTTTCCACACTTTTGGTAGACCCTGTATATATATATGTAAAAGATATAAAACACACTAACTGAAGAAAGTTATTGTAAATTCCGTTTAATTTTATTATATTGCATATTGTTATACGAATCAATTATTTTGTGCGTATTTATATAATAGCAAGGAACTATAGATATATAAATAAAAAAAAATTTACATAATAGTAAAAATAATATGCGAATCAATCAATAGCTCTTGTACATTATTATTATACAGGAAAAAATGCTATTGTTTTTATTAAAGTCGACATATGCTGCCACATAAATAGTTTCTTTAATTGTATTTACAGTTAATTAAAAAAAAAGATTATTAGAATCAATTACAATGAAATACAGTTAATAGCAAATATAGTTGAATGAACTATTTATGTGTGTGACAGCTCGTAACATCGATAATTAATCGAAGTAACATCGTTTTTTCCCATGCATGTTTAATTAAAGATAGACGAAAAACGTTAACTCAATTTAGCAATTACACTATTAACTGAATATGCTCATCTAATAATAATTAAAAATAAGATATTTAGATAATAATAATATTTACCTTTGAAATGTTGAATAAGGTTATTTTCGAAGCCCCAATCTTTCAGAAGATTGACTGTCTCTTTATCAGCCATTATAATGTTCTTACATATATAATCTTTTTACAATACGACAATACAGTATTTTTACTTTCACTGAAACACTGAAAACAAATTTGTGGCACTTGATAAACCATAAGCACTGTAAAAGGGTCGAGCAAAGGCGACCATTATAAAACGTGTTCAGTCTGGTCTCTCAAATAACAAAAGAATCAGCAGACTCGCGATAAAGAAATGTTATATGTCTACTGGTCGCACGGATGGCGACATGAGAGTGCACATAGACTGTGTACTTACAATGTCCGCAATGGTCGTGCGGGAGACGATGTATAAGAGAGGCATATAAAATGCACGTACAAATGTCGACCTGAAGACGCAGGCACGAACACGAACGTTCAATATACCCCGGTCGCAAGGATAATGACGGTAAGAAAGCAGCGCGCACGACACAATTACGATGTCCGCCGATTGCACGGAAACGACAGCATGAGAGTAGACACGCATTAACTCGCGTGAACTATGCCCGCCGATCGCACGAATAATGAAAAATAAGTTGGCACGCACTAGCACGCGCGGACGGGATACAATGACCGATACCGCATGGTCGACATGATCGTTCGATGAGTTCTAAAGTCCCTTTCGCAAGAATGTTCGCGAAATCCGCGATCACGCGATTGGGCGATGCGTAAACTAATCGAGGAGCTCGGTGGCGAAACACGTGATTCGTCATCGACTCGCGATTGCGTAATACGGGGTGTCCCGATCAAACAATATCCAAACACGCATAAATCAATAATATTCAAGTGTAACATCTGACAAATAATTCATTTGTACCAATATACAAAATGTATACGGATGAAATAAATTGTGTTTTAATCAACAAGATAATGCATATGAATTGATCATAATGATATTAATTGTGTCGTTGACTTGCTTTAAGTATTTTACGTAGTTAAATTAACAGCATTATGTATGTCAGGTGTTATAGTTAAATATTATTGAATCTTACGCATTTTTTGTTTAAAAGAAACAAAAATAGTTTTATATTGATTACATTTCCACTTGATACAATTAAAACACAAAAATATTAATGATTATATGTGTTGATTGCATCAAGCAGATGTATAATCAATGTACAAACATTTCTATTTTCCCTAAAAAACAATTGTGTATGAATCAATAATATTTAAGTGTAACATCTGACAAATAATTTTTTTGTACTAATATACAAAAAATATATAGATAAAATTAATTGTATTTCAATCAACAAGATAATGCAATTGTATTAACCGCATTAACATTAACTCTGCTGTTAATTTACTTTAATTCCATTCTTATGGGAAAATGTCTTTCGGTGGATTTCGCTAAATTTTGGATATGTTGTAGTTCTCGTCATTCTGAACAAAAGATACAATGGGCACAACTTGATCCTATGAGCCGTTTCCGCGCTATAAGCCCTGGAAAGTGCAGATTTAACATATAAAGATATCGATTTTTCGACTCGATAATTTCGATCAAATATGCGTGCGTGCCCGCATGCGTGTGTGTGTGTGGGTGTGTGTCAGTGTGTGAGTGTGCGCGCGCGCGCTTGGGTATCACAGCAGAAATAAGGACCCCACGGTTCGTCACTTCCGTAGTATTTTATGACTCCAAACCCTCTCTGCTGTGTGTGTCTCTGTGTATGTGTGTGTTTATCACAATAACATTATTATTCATTAATAAATATTTGGTCGTTTGGATTTTGCTGCAGTGGTCTCTGACCTGCATCTAAGACCGAATGAAGTAGAGATGCTTCAGGTACCTTATATTTGGTTGATGTCTTGCGTAGCCCAGAAACCAGATTACGCTTGCTACGTGTGCACAGCATCCAACAATTCTTGCTCCGGATTGGCAAGTACAGTAATATCCAAGAATATGTTTATGATCGATATTGTTTTCATCATCAATATTGTTTTCATTATGGATAGCGTTGTACGCTATCCATAATTGATGCGTTGTCGCATTCCGAAAACGTGAATATTGTCGTACTCGCAAAAAGCCATGTTCATTAGTGAGCATATCTATATGAAATTCTTTGTCTTCTCGCTGAAGCCTATCTTGGATATATCCAGCTGCAAGATATACCTGATATATTCCAACGGTCAAATCTCTAAGGTAATCTATGTCAAGGTGTGGAAAATCGTTAACCTGATTGTGGTTCAAGCGAATCCATCTTGCATTTCTCGTACGAAGATTTTCCATTTCTACTCGAGCTTGCACGACGTTTGGCTCCTGGGCTCTAGCTAATAATTGTTGAGCTAATTGGAAGTTAGCACCTTCCATGTGTACCAATGGATGATACCTATTTATAATTGCTCCTGCTATACGGAAGAAATCACCGAGATTCGTGACATGCGGCATAATAACGGTTTGTGCAAAAAACTTGAAGACGCTTTTTATATGGTCGTTTCTAGCTTCAATTATCCACCTAGTTTTGGTAACTAAACGTGATTTGTTTGCTTGTTCAGTGGAAAATTGACGTTGTCCAGGCTCGAGAATGGGTGGCATTTTTACATGAATTCCCAAGGCTTCGAGCATAGGCATAGTATCCCGGTATCCGCGATCAACTACAAAAATGTCTCCATCTTGAAACCATGCTCTCATCGCATCACCATCTCTAGCATACTCATTTCGAAGCATCTCCGCATCATTATTCCTTGAATCTGAAAAGTATGGACCTTGGATTGTTAGTATGTAGCCATCTGGAGCCACAATAAGAGCAGGTTTAACTAAATGGCGACCTTTATGACGACAGTAAGATTGCCTTAAGATACGGAAGTTACTGCTTTTGTGTATGTAAGCATAGGTACCGTCAATATAAGCAATTATTCTAGGTTCATTGGGTTGTGGATTGTACAGGCCATTAGCGAAATCGGTAACGTGTCTTTCAATAAATTCATTTCTCGTTATTGCTTGGAAACCAATATTTTGAGGTACGAATCGTTGCATAAGAGATCTTCTCACTGTTTGGATAGTTAAACTTACGGTTTGTCTGCTAGGATAATGAAAGATGACTTTCAAAAATTCATCACTCAGGCCTTGACGTAGTTTACAGAGAAATAACAGAAGATCTCTTTTTGATATGTATCTGTAACCCTTTCCATCTATTCGCGATACTGGATCACAGAATGTATATAATTCGCGGAACTGATTTTGTGATATGGGGGTTATCGATTTAAACTCTTCGTCAGTAAAACTATTTTCATCATTATATGAGCAACTGTTCTGATTAGCTCTTCGAAGTTCTTGCAGAATAATTTGTAACTGCTGTCCACGTATCACATACGGTCTGTTAACAAACTTTAATCCACCCAACAAGTATTGTAACAACAAACCATTATGATCTAAGTGGATATTGCAACATTTAGTCGTCTCAGGTATATAAATATTCCTTATGACGAAAATATTTACTCGGCACTCAACTGATAATCTCTGTATATTAGCATACTGATTACAGATCATACACGTATGACTAGAGGTTTGTGTCAATACGTTCAATCTCAAACAAGTAGGGTCCCGCTCAATAGCTTCTATTTCATTAAGAATAGAACGATTGCAATTAACGCAAAGTCTAGTACGAGCTGTTATATCAAGTGCTGGTCGATTATTTGCATCGCGTCTGCTAATAGCAATTTCACACTTATTTAAATTATCATCGCCGTCAATTCGTGCCAATTGTCCTGGTCGTACTATGGCATCACACACGTAACACTGTAGCCTATTTCTATTTCTGAATGCCATGATTTTATTGATTTTAAAACATTTAATCGGTTCAGTTAAAAATTAATTTTTTACTACGAGTGACGGAAAGTTGAAGAATGGAATGAAGAAGAATAGATTTTTCTTCTTCAATTTTTAACTGTATTAGGTGTGAATTAATAAAAGAGATACGCCTTCGTGAGCGAGCGTGAGGGAGGTTTGTCTGCAGCGCATACTATTCATCTCTATCTCTCGTGTTGCGCATTTCGCCGCCCGATCCGCAGGGCCGATCTTCCTTCTCTCTCGCGCACGCGTTCGATCTCCGTCGCGCACACGTCGCTATCAAAAGGAAGATCTCACCGTTCCGCGAACGGCTCGCGTGTGTTATTGCCGAGGCGACAACCTACGTCTCAACACTTGTTACATTGACTATTTCTTTATCAAATATATTACTTTATTTTTATTTCTTTACATTACATCTTCCGTTGTACGCGCACACTCACACACTGACACACACACACACCCACACACACACACACACCCACACACGCACACGCATGCGGGCACGCACGCATATTTGATCGAAATTATCGAGTCGAAAAATCGATATCTTTATATGTTAAATCTGCACTTTCCAGGGCTTGTAGCGCGGAAACGGCTCATAGGATCAAGTTGTGCCCATTGTATCTTTTGTTCAGAATGACGAGAACTACAACATATCCAAAATTTAGCGAAATCCACCGAAAGACATTTTCCCATAAGAATGGTGCGGGGTCCTTTATTTCAATTGCACTGATGCTGTTGATACATCATTCTTTTTTCGTGTAGCGTCTCTCCCTCATATCGATAGGCCATACGTTGCGTTTACGCATGATGTACAAGCGATGATTCATGATTAACGCTACGTCTATGCAAGGCGCATAGGTTCACGGTATTGGCGGGAGCGAGCGTCGTCGTAGCCGTCCTCGTAGTCGCCGGCGGCGTCGTAGCCGTCGTCGTCGTCGTCGTCGTCGCCGTGATCATCGGAGTAGCGCCGACGATCGTAGGATTCGCGGTCTCTCTCGATCCGTAGAGATTTCGCGCGTTTATAACGTCCTCTATGCTCAGTCTAAGCGGATATCGTCTTTCCTTCGAAGGCGTATACGCGTACATGACCGAATCTTCCCTCAGACTGTGAGTCAGACCCAGAGTGTGACAGATCTCATGCGTCAGCGTCTGAAGGAGATACAGCTTATCCGACGGGGGTCTTGCCAGCGTGATGTACCACGGCTCCGTCTCGTCGACGTGTACCTCCGTCACGTGATTGGTCGCTCCCATCGGAAAGAACGCGTGAGCGACGGCCGATTCCGGCCCCGTGAACGGCGACAAGCACGAGTCCCCGTTATCGCTGTTCTCGTACGCGTGAGGACCAGCTTGATAGGATATTAGTATATCAGGTTGCAGCGTGTCGCGCGAGAACGTCAGGGAGGATTGCTCGGACCATAGAGCGAACGCGCTCTGAGTCATGCGCAGAGTATCTCTACTCGCTAGTCTGAAGTTCCACGTGAGATGCGTCACTTTCTCGTTAACGGGCTGTAAGCGTGAATGTCCGCGACGCTGCATCGCGGTCTGTGCATGACGCGAATCGTTTCCACGGTCAGAACGCCATTTCCTGGTAGACCGTAGTATCTTGAAATAACGATAGCGCGTCGCTCAGGGTGGTCACGTTGTCCAAGGACGACGACTGCTGATGATTCTCTTCATTCTCTAGAAAGCCGTAGATTGGCAGATAACGGGACGCCTCTGCGACTTCATCGTCGGTCAGCGTCGCCGCGACGGTGACGAACAGGGACATCGATAGCGTGAATGATAGCGCAACGCGCGTCATGGCTCTCGCGAGCGGCGAGCGCGCAGGGGTCGGGACGATCGCAAACTATCGCATGCGTGCGAGTCTTTCGGCGATACCTCGCTCCCCGAGAGCTCGAGGAAGCGTCGGATGAGAGGAGAAGGAAGAAAGGAGGGGAGATATGCTCGGACGCGCGAGAAAGGCAATCGAAAGAATGATCGTTTGTTTTTTTTTTTAAATGATCCTTTATTCTTATAAAAGGTTTTCAATCTTCATCGTATGCAAAGAGTACGCTTCTATATACGAAGAAATACACGAATGGATATGAACTAAGGTACGAGGTAACGTATAAAGCGACGCATCGTATGATCGCGCGAAGCGATGTGACGCGTGGAATGATATAGGATGATACGCAGATTAATACGCAGATTAATAGAGTAATATATAAAACTAAGGTACAAGGTAACGTATAAAGCGATGCATCGTATGATCGCACAAAGCAATGTGACGCGTGAAATGATATAGGGTGACGCAGAATGCGTAGGGCGATCGGAAATCGAAAGGAAAGGCGCGATCCTTCGGCGTCGAAATCGGCGAGACGTCTGAAATATACAAAGAATTTATTAATAGATCGTACCGAGGTACACGGAACGAAAGAGTAACGCGTTAGACGAAAAGAGATACGTACCTCGATTAAAACTCGTCGTCGCCCGTGTGGACGGAACTTATTCCATCTATCGAGCTCATACCACCGCTCCACATTTCTATGGGGGAATCGTCATCGTAGAGATGCTCGTACTTGAACGCGTGATCTGGGACGAGCTACATGTCGAACAATCTTCGCAAGCGAAATATATCGACGAAGATATTAGGCGCGCACTTCTCCCATTTCTTGTAGGATGGTCGGTCACACCACACCAAGAATCGTCGTTGCGCCCGCCTTTTCCTCTGCATCCAACGCCGGTGGTATATGTTGATGAATCTCTTGATCTCTATCTCCTGCTCGAACTGTAAAAAATGTCGCGCGATTAACGACTATCGTATATTTCTTCGAAGGAGAACAAAAAATAAAAATGAGAATAAAAAGATACATTCCATGTCACCGCTATGTTGAGAATTGCGTCCATGAAACTTTTGATGTATTTTATCTTCCACGCGTTCATCCAATTGTTGTGAACATACAATCAGTGAATATTCTTCGAAAGGCCGAATCGTCCATCGTTCGCGCAAAAATAACACTGAGAACACTGAGAACACTTAATAGCGCGATCGCGAAACTTGTTCTGAGGAAAAACAGTTAATTTATACCTGCGATATTACTATCGTCAGGTCATTATAATTCCGTCGAAAGCTAACGCGATAATCTAATGCGGTATGAAAAAATAATGCAACGCGGAAATATAACGAGATAATATAATGAGGCGCGATAAATTCTCGATTGCTCCGGAGGAAGTGCGGTAAAATGCGAAATTTAATCGCGTACGCGTTTAACCGCGTACACGCGATACGAGTTAACGTTTATTTCCTAAGTATTAATATTATTTTTTAAGTATTAATATTATTTTTCAAAGTATTAATATTATTTTTCTAAGTATTAATTTTTTCAAGTTGTTCGGGATTGCATCTTGTAATTGCAATCGTAATACCGGTACACACCCGAGTGGATATCGCGAGCTTGAATCACACGTGATATCGCGAGCTTGAATCACACGTGATTTCGCGAGGGATGAATGATAGGATTGAATAATGTGCACTTGCTTCTTTGATTTATCACAGTAATGTCCACGAGAGAATTACTATCCGTTTATTGCACTATAACAAACTATATTTACAGTGTTCATAAGCGTTCGCTGGGTGCAAGACGCTATTTCGATTGGTTTGAGTACATCGAGAGCTATACAAGTTTATGCGAGGTCGCACTATACATTTGTTAACAAGAGTAAGCGAAACAGCGCTTTATCAGCTGTTCGCGAGATTGAGCGAGACCGCACTTTTACACGGTTCGCGCGAGAGCGAGCGAGACAGCGCTTTATCAGCCGTTCGCGAGATTGAGCGAGACCGCACTTTTACACGGTTCGCGAGAGAGCGAGCGAGACAGCGCTTTATCGGCTGTTCGTCAGACTGAGCGAGACCGCACTTTTACACGGTTCGCGCGAGAGCGAACGAGACAGCGCTCTATCGGCTGTCCGCGAGAGCGAGCGAGACCGCACTATTCACGGTTACGCGCGAGAGCGAGCGAGACCGCGCTACTTCGCGAGCACACGAATGAGCGGAGGCTCAATGAAGAAAGAGGCTCCACCTCTCACTTAAAGTGGAGACGCTCCGTTGAGTCCCGCCACTCGCGCTCAGAATATTCACGTGTGATACGGAACTGATTAAGTTAACTGAATTCTAAACTGATTGTTCGCGTTATTCGACACAATGATTCGTTAGCTTGAATATACTCGCGATTTTAACGTCTCACTGATTCGACGCACTTTCAAAATTCTTGATTTTCTCAATTACGATGCTCTCACAATGACTCAGATAAAGACTCGCAATGACTCCGGACTGACTCGGCAATAACTCAGCAATAACTCGCAAGGAATCCGGAATGACTCGTTTCCTTGCCAAGAAATTTCGACGACTCACTTGTGATTCGACCACGATGCTCTCAGAGAGAAGCTTTCTTCTTGTGATCCGATAATTACTTTCTTCTTAAGGGATCAAATCACGAGTCACGAGTCACACCGAGAGAGGCTTTCTCTCGGATAATAAGAATTCGATCAGGTGATCCTACTTTAGCCTATCCCGTTCATGCACGTTACATCGCGTGATTTTACGATATCTAATTGGCCAGGACCATGTATTCTTTCGCGATCACGCGGATCCTGGCTGATATCGCGAAATAAGGACGGCATTACATATTCTCGAGTTCGATCGAGCGCGAATGAATGGCGCCAGTATGACCGGGGTGAATTTTTAATTCGAATTACATAGCAAATCCTGAACACAAATATTAATAATACTTTTCTAGGTAGGTGATAAATCGACGCACGATAAAAAAGTTAGTCGTTAATAAGTCGAAGAGTATGTATAAAAGTAATCTACAATGTGGGAAACGTATAAAGCGCGATAAAAAAAATTAGTCGATAAGAGTATGCGTAAAACTAATCTACGAGGAGGAAACGTATGAGGCGCGCAGATTATTACATATACACACGCGCGAGTGCGATGC